TTAAGTGGTTTTTAAAAGGGTTTATAAGGTTTTTAAAAGGTATTTATAAGTTATTTTACGCTATTTATGAAAGATATATAAAAATTTAAACATATATAAAGGTAATTTGTGTGTATATTTATAAGTTTTCACACATATTTGGATAAATTTCAACGTTTAAAGTGGTTTTTTTATAAAGTTTGAAATAGGGGTATTTTTAAAAAGTGGTATGGAAAAAGGGTATTTTTGATAATTAAAAAGTAGTAGTATATATATATATATATATATATATATATATATATATAGACACAAATTATCTTTATATGTGTGTAAATTTATATCAATAATTCATAAATACCGTATAATTAAAAACCTTTTAAAATTTATTTTAAAACCATATAAAAACTTTGTAAACCTTATAAAAGTCTCGTAAATGTAGTTTAGAACCTTTTAAAACTTTATAAATATTTGTATTGAGCCTCCCATTAGTAATAATGATCTAGATGTACCCTATAAAGTATAGAAAAGTTTAAAAAATTTTTATATTTGAAAAGGGGTATTTTTAGAAATGAATAAAAAATTGGTAAATTTTTAAAAAGGATACACCAAAATGGGTATTTCTCAAAAATTCTCTTTCAACTATTAACCTAATTTTTGGTTTTGCCAGTTGTAGGTTTTACAATTATAAGGGTTATATGTTGAGTTTATAAATCTGCATTATAGTTTAGATTTTATAATTAAACGAGATTATTTATCGTTTTAGGTTTATTAAAGAGGAGTGAGATTTAGGTTTTACAATTAAACAAGGTTATTTATCAGTTTGGGTTCATAAAGGAGAATCAGGATTTACAGTTTACAAATAAATTAGATTTTGAGTTTAACTAAATACATAATTTTATTCATGATTTTTATTTTATAATATGTTATATTTGTTTAATTTTAATTTATGTATGAATGTATTATGCCATTGAGCAATTTCATTGTCTAAAACATAAGGGTCAATAAAAGATTTTTGAAAATAATATTTTTAGCTTAAATTAAAGATAACAAAGTTCAATATAAATCGTAATAGTGTAATTTTAATATATTTTTAAAAACAATATGTAGTTTTTTATAATTCGTATTTAAAAGAATTTTTAATGTTTTCCTCAACGATGCTATAATTTATTTTAGAATCTTTATGTTTATTTGCGTTGTTTATATGAAATTATTTATAAATGACTATATTTGTATCTAACATCATATTTTATATTGATGTTAATTAAAAAGAGCTTTACCATTATATTGAATAATAATTAATTAATTGTCATAGTCTGAGAATGATTTTTTGAAAAATTGAAAGTTAAGAAATAAAATTTTTTACAAAATGGTATAATCATGTTTTAGAGGGTAATTGCTAAATTAAGATTTTTAAAAATATTTTAGCAATATTCTGAATAATGGTGAATAACTCTCAAATAGCTCCCAAATGTTTTGGTGATTTGTCGGTTTGACATTACTAGATTTTATAAATAACATTTAATAACGAATTCTAAGAGATATATATATATATATATACACGTTTATTTGATACTTCAAACCAATTAAAATCTTTTTCCAAATGAAAATAATTTTCTTGTATATATATAATACTCAGTAATAGAATTTTTTTAAAGATATAGCAACAAAAAGTAATATTATTTTTAATATTTTTTTAACAATAAATTTATTTTATTATGTTAACAACCAAAAATAAAATTGTATATAATTTGAATCTATGTTTTATAATCTATCATTTTTCATTTTTAAAATTGCTTATATAATCTAATTTTCAAATATTAGAAGCGTGAAACTTTATTTAAATTTTAACATCATATAATCGAACCCGCCATCTATTACAAACATCATAACTTTTTCTATCATATAATACACTATTTAACCTGTTTGCTATAATTCCTTTTTAACATACATCTGTGTTAAAAACTAGAGTATTTATGATACATCTGTTTGCCATAGCACGGGTTATATTTTTTTTTTATGATATTCGTAAAAACAATATCAAGTTAAATATTTTTAAAATTTCCAAATTAAAATAAATTATTGAAAAATATTACTCTAGTTTAAATTTTTGACCCGTTAATTTTTTTATTCATAGATTAAACAGTTTATACTTGTTTATAAAAATTAAAATCATGACATATGGGAAAAAATAAGTTTTTTTTTTATGTGGATGATATAATAATTTTTTCACACAAATAAGATCATATAAAGGATGAGAGGTGAAATATAATGATAATAATAACTTAATATAGTAAATTATATATCAAATCTTATATACTCATTTTTATTGGTTAAAGTAGATATCAAATCTTGTAAACTCATTTTTGATTGGTTATTAGTTTTTTGAAAATTAATAATGTATTTTCGTTTGAATAATTAAATTATATAAATTAGTATTGAAATTTTTATCCATAATGAATATTATTAATTTTTTTAAAAACCTATTTATGTAATGGCATTCTAATGTAATTATTTACCCTTAATAAGGTTTATTCTATAAATGTACTTCCCAATTAATAATAAAGAGATAACAAAATCCATTTTTATCATTTTTTGTTTTTTGTTTTGGGGTGAAATTGACGGTAAATCCAACACTATTGGGTTTATGTTGCAATACTATTGAGTTCATTTGCTTTAAGAAGAAAATTGATTCTCAGCCCATAGGCCCAATATAAGCCCATATACTCGATCCACCATTATGTCACAATCCTTCTTTGACTCTTTGACTTTTTACGGAACACAGTGCCCACAAATTCAAATCACTTAGCTCCGAACGGTCCAGTTTTAGGGTTTTTGCATCATTTTCAGATCAAACCTCAGCTTCTCTGACCAAAAAACACCCAAAATGGTGGTCGCGAAACAACCAAACTACGAAGAGTTTCGTCTGAAACGAGTGGAAGAGAACAAGAAACGTATGGAAGCTTTGAATCTTCCAAAGCTCTGTCAAAACCTCAAACCCACTTCTGTCAAGACTTCTCCAGTTTTGAAATCTTCTCTTCTTCTCTTTCACATTATCACCATAACAATCAAATCGGATCTTGTTGTTGAATTTGAAGTCTTTTGGTGTTAAAACAGATGAAGAAGAGATTTATTCCTCGAACACCAGAGAAGGAGATGGTGCTTGTTCGTCGATCTAGTCGTCTCTCTAACTCTTCTTCTACTCCTGTTTACAGAGAAGCAAGTTTTTTTTATTTCTTGGTTTCTTGATTCTTAGGGTTTTAGCTCGTTTTATGAATTTGAGGGTCTTTTGTTTGGTTTTGGTTTTACAGGTTGATGTTGAACGAGTTCAGATTCGTAGAAGGTGAGATTGCGTAAAGATCTGATCTTTTTCATTACTAAAGATTTGATCTTTTTCATCATTTCTGAAGATTAGATCTTTTTAATTACTAAAGATTTGATCATTTTCATTTGTAAAGATTTGATCTTTTTGAAATTGTACAATTTGATTTGGTTTTTGTTGTTTAGGGGAGTGAGTAAAAGGAGAGATCTTTCGAATCGGGTTTATGTTTCTGAAGAAGTCAGAGATGATGCTATTGCAAGAGCTGAGAAGTTTCAAGCTGATTTGGGGAGTGATTACCCAAGTTTTGTGAAATCTATGCTTCAGTCACATGTTTCTGGTGGCTTCTGGCTGGTATGATTAACTTGTATTGCTTAATCTTTGTTATGAGATGAGATGAGAAGCGTTTGAGATGAGAATGTCTAATCATGTATACTACAAAGAACCAAACAGCATTCCATGTTAAGACTAGTTATTTATATAAACTTACATTGCTTAATTTCTAGTTTGCTTGCTTTTAGAGAGTCCATCACCAGTCTTTGCATTGCGTGTTACGTGGAAAAGTATCGCGTTTAGTCCGATGAGTTTGAGATAGTAATGTCTGACAATGTAATCTACGAAACCTTTAAAGAACCAGACAGTCTTTTATAATTCAGGACCTCTAAGATGTTATGTCTAGAGCTGGAGTATTTTAATAGCCTAGAGATGTTATGTCCAGCTCAAGAACATCAATTCATTATGGAATTGTCTAAGGTCTTAGTTTTGGGAGTTTCTGTGGTGAATCAAGTGTCCTCTATGGTTTTAGAATTGAATCTTATTAACCTCATCTGATGTTATTGTACATGTGAATGGGAATAATCTAATCAGAATAAGGATATACTTATGTTACAATCAGGGTCTTCCAGTTCACTTCTGCAGATCTCACCTAGGGAAACATGATGGTGTCATAACTTTGATAAATGAAGAAGGCGATGAGTATGAGACTGTCTACTTAGCGAGAAGGACTGGACTTAGTGGTGGATGGATGGGGTTCGCGGTTGCTCACAATCTAGCGTATGGAGATACACTTGTTTTCGAGTTAATTAGCCCTACCGCATTCAAGGTTTGTAAACCCTTTATGCTACCTAACTAACCAAACTTGGGAAACAAATGCTGAAACTGATGATCAATGTTGTTGTTGTTCTTTGGTCAGGTTTACATTACAAGAGTTGAAAGTTCTGGAGAAAGCTCAGAGATATGAGCTGATCATGTCAGGAATTTGGAAATGGCCCTAGTTAAAACTTTTGTGTCCTTTTGTCTTTTGTATGTAAGATTCTAACTCTAGGCTAATTGAGCTCTTCACTGCCAAATCTGATATAATTTTTGAAGGTGAAAAAAAATCCTTGAACTCACTAAATTCTATGTGATGATAACATGTTCAGAAATGACCCGAGTTAAGTAAGCTGCTAATTATCCACTAATTGTGCACTTCATGCTAAATCTGATATATGGTTAATAAACTTGGAACGGTTATTTGAATTAATAGGACCTTTAGTTTGGGAGACAACACTAAATTTGGTTTGATGTAAAAGACCTTTAGTTTTTCTATAGACTACGATAACAAATAGTATATTCTAAATTCTTATACTTTTACTTTAGTCATGCCACGACTTGTGTTTTTGTCACCAATTTATACATCTTCTACACAATTACAAATAGAGAAGAAGAGAAAACAAAATTAGTTTTATTAAAAATGGTATTTTTAGTTTATTTCAAAAATATCAAAAAAAATATATATATTTTTTTCATAAATACCACAAAGTTAAACTAAATTTATAACATTAAAAACTAAAATTTAAATCCTGAGCACTAAACTTTATCCCTTGTAAACTATACCCTAAATCTAAAATAGTCATCCCAAACCCCAAAAAAATTATATATTTCTAAAAAACAATTTTTTTTTATGCTTGTGGTACTTTCCGAAAAAAATACAAACTTGTGTTATTTTTGGAAAAATAAACAAATAGTTGGTACCTTTGAAAAAAAAAAGTTAAAATATAGTATTTTAAGAAATTTCTCATAAAAAAATTATGCTTTTTTTTTTTTTTTTAATTTTAGGATGATGAAGGTTATAACTAAAACTAATATGTATTTTTAAATAAATAAAATTTTTAAATAGCGCCATACCTTTGGATGAGACAAAGATATCAGTATATCACCATGAACAATCCATTTGGAATTTTCAAAATTCTGATCATATAAATTAATTAAAATTCAAAGACACCAAGTAGAAGTAAATAAAAACACAAGAGTGAGAGAAGAGGCTTAAAAGTGAAGTCGCAAAGTTAAAAGCCTTCGTCATTGCTTAACTTGCAATCAAAGTTACATATATAAACGAAACAAACATTTTTGTTGTACTCAGAAGGGCCTAACGTTCACGTCAATCATCCAACACGCACATTCCATTGTTATCAATTAGATTGTTTTTGCTAATATCACTACTTAGAGAATTTTTATCTCACCAAACACTGAAAGAACCATTTCAACCAAAGATTTATAGTCAAGAAAACAAATCAAACCAAACAAAATAATAGTAATGTTGTTGTGTCTTTAGATATAAACCTTAAAAGCTAGATGTACAGAGACTTCTCTTTCTTTTGTTTGTCTTCTTGTTTCTGGACTCAAGAGAGAAGACTCAAGAGAGAATGAGTTCGAATGGCGAGAAGAGAATGATGAAAAGGTCGGATTTCGCGCAGAAGTTGTTGGATGATCTTCGCGTGCGGAAGGAACAGCTTTCAGGCTCCAAGAACTGTCTACCAACAGGTTATAAATAATGAACTAGTAATGCAATTGTAGCTAGGCTAGGTTCTTGAATCTTTTCGATATCGTATAACGTTTCTTGATTTCAGCTGTTAGATCTAGTAGAAGTAACCAACAATAGCTAAAAATGCTCCTAGCTAATCTTCAAGACAATATAGAATTCTATTTTTTTTGTTACTAACCAAGAACTATTAATCTAGAACATGTTAAATTCTCCACCTCTATGGTGAAAATCTAAAGAACATTTTATATACATAATCCCATAGTTTCAGCAAAGGGTTTAAGGGATTTTAAACGATCATAATGTGAATTGTGCAACTAGTTACATAGAAAAATCTCTGTAATGCTAATTTTTTTCTTTGGTGGTTTCAGATAACTATGCATATTCTAACAGAGGATTTAAGGGATCCAGAGCAAAATCTGTAAGCTGTGAAGCATCTTTCTAACTCTCTAAATCCACAATGAGCTTTTCCATTATCTTGTTAATATCAAATGGTTTCTTTGATTGCAGACAGCATTTCAAGAACTCACTAGCAGCAACATAGAGGCTTCAAATCAGTTAGTAACTTATGGAAAAGGCCGGAGCATGGAGAAAATCGATCTTTCGAAAGCATTAGCATTTGCACTTGAGAATGCTGGGAAAGCTACAAGATCAGATCCTTCAGGGAGTGCTTCAATCATTAGTTTCTTGCATGAAGTAGGAAAGAGATCTTTGGGAGAAAGAAGAAGCAGTCAAGTTTTGGTGCAACAACAACAACCTTCCTCAAGTAGTCCTATGATTCATGTTCATATAAAAGAGATTTCAAAGGGAGCTCAAAAACTGAATCAGATCATTAAAGCATGTAGTAACGGCCTCAGTTTTCGTAAAGGGAGGTACTCGATACAATGCGGGGAACAGCTCATGGAAGGTGCCATTGAGTTAGAACAGTCTCTTCGTCTGCTTGTAGACATACAACAAGCTTCTGAGTATACAACTAATAAACAGAGGAAAAACAGAATCAAGCTGCTTGAAGAAAATGATGATGATGAAGAAGAGGAGGCTCATAACCAAAACTACCAAAAGATCAAACAAGTAGCAAAGGCAGATATCGAGATGAGACTATTGGCGCTTAACTATCAAGAAGATAATAAGAGCAAACATAGAAAAACAAGTAGTTGCGGAGATACAGAAGAGAGATCATTGAAACCTCAGAAAGGAAGGATTCCAAGTGTTGTTGCCAAGTTAATGGGATTAGGAGAGTTTCCAGAAGATGAAAAAGAGACCAACAACAAAAATGATGCATCCATTAAATCTGCAGAGAATCTCACAAGGCATAGAGTAATGCAAGCTAGTGAAAATCTTGTTGAACAGAAGACACCAAGGAAGTCAACATCATTGGATTTAGTAATCCATAAGGAGACTCAAACCGCGAATGAGATAATCTACAAAGTCAAGTCTCAGCAGAAATATAGAGAGAAAGATGATTCAGTTTCAAACAGTAGAAAAAGAAGCAAAGTTTCATACAAGAAGGATGGAGAAGTGACGACGAAAAATGTTATCCGAAGGAATCCATCTCCAACAGAAACTAAACATAAGGTTGTCGCGAGGAGTCAACAAAAGCCTTTACATAAACTTAGTTTTGAGAAGAAACTAGTTATTCATAAACCTGAGGAAGAAGAGATCATTAAGAAAGAGAAGTTGCAGCGAGAAAATAGCGTAAAGACCAATCAGTCAACAAAACTTTTGAGTTCAGTGGACATACAAAAGAAGGTAGCACTCACAGAAAGTACTAAAGCTCCAAGAAAAAGCTTTTCTCATGCTGAAGTAGCACACAAGGGAAGAGAAGGAGAGGTACATAAAGCCAAGATTCGCGAGAAGAAAAAACAAGACATATATAATCAAAATGAAGGATTGTACAAAGTAATGAAGCCACCAGAGATTAAGAAAGCAGAAGGAAAACATGATCAGTTACTCAGAAGTTACAACAATAAGATGAAGGAAGAATCAGATACATGCATCAAAGCATCTCAAGTTTCAAGTGTTGAGGTCCAATCATCAAACAAAAATGTGGTAGAGCATAAGAGAGGGATCAAAGATGACTCAATTCTTCTTATTGCTGCGGAGAGAGTCACATGCGAAGCTCCATTAGAAAATGTAAGCTTATTACTATATTATATATAACTTCACATACCATATGTATATGTTACCTCTAATATGTGTCTTGATGTTCATGAGCAGCATCATGGGCTTATGTTCACGGATGGGATAGATCAACAAGCTCCAATATCAAAGTTAAATGAAGATTCAGAGAGATTACCCAAGACAATATGTAAAGGTAAGAAGCAAACAGTTAATATCATTACACCTTTAGAAACATATCCTTATATGAAACTAAAGTAAGTTTCAACTATTTCAGGAACTAAAGATGAGGTGGAAACTGGTTTATCCTTGTTGGAGAAGCGACAAGAACACCGAAAACAAGAAACTACGTACACATTTTCTGAAAATGAAAGAATCCTCAAGAAGATATTTGTGAAAAGCCAAATATTTCTAGACACAGCAAAGGCACTTTTCAAACTCAACATTCCTCCAAGTGTCTATCATGACGCCTACGTTGAAAGCAATTACTATCAAGAAGACAAGAACCTAATCCTAGATTGCGGTTTCGAGCTAATGAAACGAAAAAGAAGATTTCAAGAGTTAAGTGTACATCCTTTCGTCAAGACACCCATCAGTTCCTCTAGAGTAAACTCATTGGACCATCTTATTATACAAATAAGCAAAGAGTTAGAGAAGCTGAGAGCCTACGGTAGAGACTACTACCACATTGGATCACATGTTGAAGACTATGTCTTGGAAAGAGATGTTCACCATAAAGATCCAAACTTGAACTCAATGTGGGATATGGGTTGGAACGATTCGATGCGAGCCTTCATCGAAAAAGATGATGTTATGAGGGATATAGAGAGGGAAGTCTTCAGTGGACTCTTGGATGAGATAACAAGAGATCTTATATGCATATAGCCGAGAGTACTCTTCTTTCTCTCCGAGTCAAAAGTGAGTTCTTGTTACGTTTTAGGTGAATCTTTCAGACGTTAATACATTAACAAGACATGTATCTACTTTGTTAATGTTTTGTCTTAAATTGGTTTTATTTTCAACCTTGTGTGAGCAAAATGATATGGTATATATTGGATATTGAATCCATGGGTAGAGATGAGAGTCCTTTGTGTACTATCTATGAGATTGATGTAACAAAATTAGTAGATTCGTAGGTATATATAAATGTGGCTTGCACACACACACACACACACACATGTTGTGTCTTGCACTGATGTTGCATAAACGAATTATGTGCAACATATTGAAGCGACTCATGCTATGAAAGACCAAAATCAGAAACATATATAAAGATGGTTTATATCCTAATAGATTTTTTTTTTTAATTTTAATATCATCTACTCTTTATAGCTCAAGGTGGTACAAAGGATTTCTAAGTACAAAACTAATTTCAAAACTCGCGAAAATTGGTTTAAATTTTTGGTGGCCAATACTGTTCGAACCCTGATAGTATGAACTATTTCTCTTTACCACTGAATCATAGCGACTTAGTTTATCTACTTTCGTACTACACAATCAACATGAAAATAGTCATCCACTATTTTGCTCGAAAAGATTGTTTTATCCCGATCAACAATTTTCTTTTTTGGAAGGTACATTACTACACAAAATGATTCAAACAACCCAAATTTGAAAATTGTGGTTCAAATAGTAGAGTCCTTTTTGGTTGCTTTTGTTTTAATAATTTTCCCATCTTTTTGAGGAAATAAAAAAACGACAATAGTGTTATTAAAACATGCTTTATCTTTTCCTTAGGCCACAGCAAAAGTGACTTCTTCATTCATTCTTTATTATTGTTCTTTTTCCAACTTTGTGGTGTATGTTGAAATGTCTAATTCCTTGCTCTCTTCCTCCACCACCTTCGTTGCATTGCATTGTTCCATTTCTTAGTCGAGAAGGAAAATATATATAATTAACATAAAGCACTCATCTTCTTATAAACAAGTTAATTAATTATAAACTATGTGCTGAATAATTCTGTCTCACTTTTTCATGTAAGTAATTAACTAAAAACACTTTAGGGTTTTTTAATCGTTTTGTATTGTCTCTTTTAATTCCCATGCAACACGTACGTACGTACGTATACATTTTCCGTGATGTATTTTGTTTCCTTTCCAAGTATGTATATTCATATTGGATAAACTAAAGCACCATAGTGAAGCCACTAATCAAATCATTTAGGGTTTTGTGAAAAGAACTCTTCAAATAGCTTTTTTTTTTTCTTAAGTTTAGCTTTTTATCTCCAAAATATGTAGATTGAAGTAATACGTAATTGTATAACTCTTATATGAATTTTCTAAGAACTTTAAGTATTACATAAATTAGATTTTCAAAATTTTAAATATTTGGTCTTGTAATCGCCAAAGCTTCGACTTAATATACTGTTTATCAACATTTTACAAATTTAATAAATAATGACGATGGTTTACATTGCGATTATTTTAATTTTTGCCAGATTTTTTGCTGTATTTTTGGATATAAAATTACAAAAATTAACGAAGAAATGATTTACGCAATATATTTGCACACTTATATCTAATACGAGTTTACGTTACTTGGCTCGAGCTTTAGTTTTATAGTTTGAAATTTCAAATACTCGCTTCTAAACAAATTACTTGTATGTCAGAAATACATATACTCTATCTAGTAGTATAATTTTGAAATTTCAAATACTCAGCTTATAAACAGATAGAATTAATCTTACTAAACAAGAACTATCTAATACGTTGACAAAAAAAAAACTATTAAATACTAGAATATAATTAAGTACGTATTATCAAAGGTATTGTAAAGTAACTTACATTGGTCCTGTCTTTTTTTATTTAACCATTTAATATATATATTTTTTAAACATTACATTTACAACGTCGGTCGTTTTATACATATATATAAAACTATAGTTCTACTCGATAGTTTTCTATTATATAGGGATAAAAGAAAGAAACAAGTCAGAGAAACATTTCAAATTCAAAAGAACACAAAAGAAAATAAAACAGAGAAGCCATGGCAGCTTCTGTTTATTCATTGCTCCTACTCTTCTTTTTCTCATGTTTACATCTATCAAGTAAGTTTATTTTCAAAACCTCATTTACATTTTCATAGTTTTGTATCTTTCTCTAAATCTGATTCATTGAAAACAGAGTCTCAACCATTCCTTGGAGTAAACTATGGCCTTACAGCCGACAACCTTCCACCTCCATCCGCTAGTGCAAAGCTTCTTCAGTCCACAACTTTCCAAAAAGTCCGTCTTTATGGTGCCGACCCGGCTGTAATCAAGGCCCTGGCAAACACGGGGATCGAGATTGTTATCGGGGCATCGAATGGCGATGTACCCGGTTTAGCATCCGACCCAGGTTTCGCGCGAACCTGGGTTGAAACCAATGTTCTACCTTATTACCCGGCGAGCAAGATTGTTCTTATAGCTGTGGGGAACGAAGTCACTACATATGGAGACGATACCCTCATGTCCCAGCTTCTTCCGGCTATGAAAAATGTCCAAAGTGCTCTTGAGGCGGCTTCTCTTGGTGGCGGAAAGATTAAGGTGTCGACAGTACATGTAATGTCGGTTTTGGCCGGGTCAGATCCTCCTTCGACCGCGGTATTTAAACCGGAACATGCTGATATATTGAAAGGGTTGTTAGAGTTTAATAGTGAGACCGGGTCGCCTTTCGCGGTTAACCCGTACCCGTTTTTCGCATACCAAGATGACCGGAGACCCGAAACATTGGCCTATTGCTTGTTCCAGACCAATCCTGGCCGTGTCGACCCCAACAGCAACCTCAAGTATATGAACATGTTCGATGCTCAGGTGCTTACTTTACTTCCTTTTGACATATTTTAAGTTTTTAGCTACTTTAATCGAAGTTACTATATATGAAGCGAAAACATTAAGCGGAGAGAAAAATAATCAATTATTTATATTTACAAAAGTAATTATTACTTATTTTTTAATAGAGACAAAAAGTTATTATTTCATAAATTTTCTTGTAGTATATATAATTAGAAGTATGTAAAGAGATGACAAATTAGTATTTATTTATTTGATAAATGGATTTAATTTTTTCTTCTTTTTTTTTTTTTTGACAAAACACTTTGCTTAATCAACGAGTTTAGCATATGAAAAATTCGTTACGTCAAATGAATTAAAAGTGAAAATGTACTCTAGGAGGAAAAAAAGTAGTATAAATCGTAAACGACACAAAGTGAGTGCACCTTCTAAAGTTAGTGGAAAGAACAAATATTGATATCTAAATTTGCAAATATGGATTCATACTTTTAGCTTCACACTTTTAGGAAAAGAGACCAATTACAAAATTTGATTTTGTAACCAAAATTTAGAAGACAAAACAATGTCAAATTTAATTTGTTTTGTGGTTTCCATAAAGGTTGATGCAGTATATTCAGCTTTGAGGTCGATGGGGTTTAAGGACGTAGAGATAATGGTCGCTGAGACTGGGTGGCCGTACAAGGGAGACCCCGAGGAGGGTGGTGCAACAGTTGAGAACGCTAGAGCTTACAATAAAAACCTCATTGCTCATTTGAAATCGGGGACCGGGACTCCACTGATGCCGGGGAGAGTGATCGACACATACTTGTTCGCATTGTACGACGAAAATCTCAAGCCCGGGAAAGGTTCTGAACGTGCCTTTGGTTTGTTTAAACCTGATCTAACTATGACTTACGATATCGGACTTACTAAGACTACCAACCAAGTAAGTTTTCGTTTAATTCAAACATTTTACGCGAAAATCGAATATGAATTTAGCCCCTATCAAATCGAATGGAACATTAGTTATTTCGATTTTAATTAACTAGTAACCTTAGTAACTAGAGTCATTGGAACAACAAGTTTACTTAGGATTTTAAATTGAACAATGACCATTTATATGATGAGGTAAGTCCAAGAAAGGCACTACAACATAGTCTCTTATTTGGCTAAATTAACCAAACTATAAATTGTTTTTGCTCCACGTCTCTCAGAGTTCCTTGGCTCCACGTCTGCCACCAGCCGCCGCCCCGACAAGGCAAACCTTACCTGCTGCTCCTCCGCAGATGATTCTACCTTCACCTGTTACTCCTTCGTACAAAAACTCTGGACAAACTGATGTTCACAATTCCACTCCGCGCTCTGCCTCTTTAGCTCACATATGTCGTTCTCTTTCTGTTTCGGCATCGATGTTGTTTGTCTTTGTTTTGTATGCATTGATCATATAGTTGTGTAACCGTGTTCTCATCGATCTTCAAGAGTTGAAATGTTAAAGTTTATACTATGCGTCTCTTGCTAGTTTAAGCTAAACTAATTGAACCAACTGTCTTATGAAAAGTGATATTTATTTTATAAAACATATTATTCACTAAGAAAATTTAAAAGTGATACAATGTCAATTGAGTCAAGTCCACTCTTCTTCTTTGTTTAAAATTGATTATTTTTTTTTCCTCGGCTAATCGCAATATATTTTAGAAAATAAACATTAAGTTATGTATTTAAAAAACTAGAAAATCCTGCAAAAAAATTGAATTGCATCGAGATGTATAAAAAAAAGCAACCTACCTAAGCATTTCAAAATTTTAACATAAAAATCAAAATTCTATGAAATGCTTATGATAACTATGAAAAGAATTAGAGAAATACACTTAAATACCATCATTTAAGTTTTTTGTTCCAAAAATACCACAATATTTTTTTCCGAAGATACCATAAAAGTTTTATTTTCCAAAAAATATCATAAACATAAAATAATTGAATTTTGAAGATGTAGAAATTTTTTAAGTGTTTAGGATTTAACAATTAATTTTGAATGTTAAAAATTTAGTTTTAGTTTTGTAATATTTTTGGAAAATAAATTTCGTAATAGTATTTTTGAAAAACATTTATTTAGTGGTATTTAAGAGAATTACCCAAAAAATATTACAGAAATGCCAGCAAAATTGAATTTCAGCGCTGAAAAAAGTTCTAGTTTATTATAAAATTAGGAAATAACCCGTGCTACCGAACAAATTATATTTTTTGAAGAGTTAATAAAAAAAAATTGTATTTATTTTTAAATATATTCTTATTTGATATAGTTTTTACTTTTGCAAATGTTTAGTAAATTAGTTGTTGTCAATTTTGGACAGGTGTGGTCAGTTCGAATGATTAATTTGCGACCTGAACACTAGATATTTGCCGGTTTGAGTTTAGTGCTAGTAATCGGTAATTTAGTAACCAAAAAACCAAAAACCGGTTGAACCAACCATTTTCTAGTTCACAAATAGATACAATATTGAATGTTGTTAATCAAATCTTTGAAAAGAACGATTAAGATTTGATTTATGGATACACAATTGAGATTTCCTCCTTAAACCCGATTAAAGTATCCATTGGCTAATTAAATCCGCGTGTACATCTATTTAGGGATGTATTTTATTTCAATTAAAATCTTTGGTTATTATCTTACTTCAGCTTTAATAGTATAGATATTTACTCTTATAATTTTCGCATGTCACATAATACAATATTACCACTGCACATTTTGAAAAGTCTGAATTTTGACAAAAATGGATGTGTTGACGCCTTTCTTCACGGTGATCTTGAGGAAGAGATATATATTAGCTTGCCTCAAGGATATACTCCTCCACCCAATGTTCTGCCACCTAATCCAGTTTGCCAAGAAAAATAAGGCCACAAGCCCAAATCAGTTTAAGGGCCAATCTTGTTAATAAGTTACAAAAATAAAAACTACATGATGGTAAGTTTTGGTCGAACTTAGGACTATAGGATTTATTTAGGACATTCTTACCACTACACTAACAAGAGTTTTATTTCCCCTGCGATGTAACGATTTTGTTTTATTAGATTTCTTTCTATATAAATTATTAATTTCGAAATTATATTAAAATATTAAATTAATGTTAGATATGTTTATGTATATTCAAAATAGATATGTTTACATATATTTAATTTTGAATTTAATTGTCCATTTTTTATGGTAAAAGATTACTATGATTTCCATAAATATAGATAGTTTTTGTTTTTGTTTTTGTTTTTTTTTTTTGCTGTCATTAATTCTGTTTGGCAACTGGAATATAATTTCATGAATTTTTTTTTTAATATTGGGGGGTGTTTGGCTTCAAGTTGTCCTTCTCAATTAATAGTATAGATGAAATCTAATAAAACAAAATCATCATATATCTAAAAAACAAAGATAACATTTTTATAGAAAAATAAAAAGATAAAAAAATATGTTAGCTTATGAAATAATCAACTAATCAAATTCTACATAGTAGTATATACATAACTGATCATATCATCAAATTTTGAAAAAAATATATAATTTAAAATATAAATAAATTTTAAATAAATCAATAATTAAATATTTTTTTGCTAAAACATGCGAATAAATATTATAGATCACATAAATTTCTTATTTTTACATAAAAATATTCATATTCAAAAAGCAATCTAGCAATTATAGCACAAAAGATATCTACAAAATTTATCATTAATTCAATTAGTTAATGATTTTTTATTTGGTCAAGCAGTTAGTTAATGATTATTCTAAACTTCATTTTTCTTATTAACTAGGTAATGTCCCGCGCATATGCGCGGGTTGTTGTATATTTATTTAATTATTATAATTTATTTATTACTTATCAAATAGATTAAATAAATTTTAATGCTTATGACATTTTTACATGTTATTTATTTAAATCATACAATAGAAGCATACATCCATATCTTTTGAATTTATTCTTTGATTAATTGTTCAATTAATCAATTTTGATAATAATTTTCTTTAGTACTTTTAAGTATTTTTTGATAAAAAAATAATATTTTTAATGATAAAAATAGGAATGATTTTGGGAGAATTTAAAAAATACCCCTTTAAAAATACCACTTTTTAAATTTACCCCCTTTTCAAACTTTATCAAAACAACCACTAAAAATGTTGATATTTATCCAAATATGTGTGTAAACTTATAAATATACACAAAATTACCTTTATTTGTCTATAAAATTTTATTTATTTCAATGTCTTACAAATTGGTTTGAATATAACAAAAAAATATTTTGTTAAAATAATTACATACTTTGAAAATAAAATAAATATACATGAATATGTGAGAAAGAAAAAAACATATAAAGTAAAACAATGAAAATAGTTTATTTAGCTTGATTTTCTTATGGTGCGATGGTCAGAAATCAATATTTTTGAATCCCATCGATAAAGTAATTACCTTGTAGCCATAAAATATTATTATACATATGTATTATACATTTAATAGTATAAAAAACAATGAAAAACTGAAGAAGTACATAAAATAAAGAAGAAATATAATTGAAAACAAAATTTTTAACCAAATATATAATCAAGCTCTTACAATGATATCTTAATTGAGCTTTCAACCCATGCAAGAACATTAAAAATTAAACAAAGAAAATATTGAGAATATCAGATATGGTGGAGGAGGATGTAAAAATGAGTATTTATAGGATAAAATATGATGTAAGTTACAATTCTGAAATAATTAAATCAGATGAGTTATAATTATATTTTATAGTGTGTTAATTGAAGTTAAATGGAGGAAACAAATAGTCAATTGAAAGGTTATATACTTTAAGTTACAATTTAATAGTAAAGTGTGGATTTCAAGTATGAATTAAAGTATATGACTAAATGTGTTAGATATTTGGTTTAATTAAAAATAAATATTATAAGTAAAAAATAAATGCTAAATGGACCAATAAGGAGAGAGTGAAACCTTAAAAATTCCCAAGAAATAATTTTATTTTTAATCTCTTTTTATATTCCTCTTAATTTAAGTTATATTTCTAGGTTTAATTATATTTTTCATCCTTGTAGTATATATAATAGATAGAAAATGGAATATCAAATTGTTTTTAGATAGGAAATCAAGTATAAAATTCAAAGTTAAAACAAATTATAATGTTTTTTGTATTATTACATGTTGAATCACAAACTAAATATAAGGATCATTATTCTTAAAAGAATGTCTTACAAATTGGTTTGATAATTATATAACAAAAAGTTTATTTTGTTAAAAAATTACATACTTTTGAAAATAAATTAAATATACATGAATATGTGAGAAAGAAACAAACATCCAAAGTAAAAGAAGGAACATGGTTTCTTTAGCTTGATTTTCTTATAACCACAAAATATTATTAGACATATGTATTACAATTAAAAATATAAAAAACAATGAAGACATAAAGAAATACATAAAAACAAAAAATAAATAAAATTGAAAACAAAAGTTTAAACTAAATAATTAATCAAACTCTTACAATGATATTTTAAATGAGTTTTCACCCCATGCAAGAACTTTAAAAAAAAAACAAAGAGAATAATGAAGATATGAGATATGGTAGAGAAGGATGTGAGAATGACTATTTATATGATAAGAAGTGATGTAAGTTACATTTTTAAAATAATTAAATTAGAGGAGTTATAATTATAATTTATAGTGTGTTTAATTGGAATTCAATAAAGAAAACCAATAGTCTTTGGAAATTTATATAATTTTCAGTTTCATTTTAGTAGTAAAGTGTGAATTTAAAGTATGAATTAATGTATATGATTAAATGTGTTTTTTTGGTTAAAAATAAATATTATATTTTAAAAAATAAATACAAAATGGAACAATAAAGATAGTGGAACCTTACTTTTATATAGATGATTTTAAATAATTTCCACCAATAAGGCTTATAAAATTTGTTGTATGATATATGATTAAGTCCTTTCATTTTCTTTGCCATTTGATTATAACTTATAGTGTAATTAAATTTTGTATTGAATGATTGTCATAAACATTTATTTATTTATTTACTTTGTTGAATGATATATTATTAAGTCCCTTCATTTTCTTTGCCATTTGATTATAACTTATAGTGTAATTAAATTTTGTATTGAATGATTGTCATAAACATTTATTTATTTATTTTTTAAAAAAAAATTAAAGCCTTAAATATTTTTCCACCAATAAGGAGAGAGTGGAACCTTACTTTTATATATATGATTTCACACAATCTTAACAAAATAAATCTTCATCCATTGGCAATTTGCATATCATTACTATTATCAAATATTAAATAATTTTTATATCAAATTATAAACTACATTTTGATATTATAAACATGTAGAATTTCTATTAAGATTAAAACTAAATAACAAGTGGATATATCACATTTAAATGATTTTAATTACTTATTACCAATTTTTAAATAATAAATGGATTATATTTTTATGATTTAATCTAATTGAAAACAAATAAAATGTCAAATTGGTATAATATAAATGATATAATA